ATTCACAGTCACTACTATACCACACAGTAATGGAGAATGGCGTGGAAGCATCTGTTATGGTGTCTATAATCCTCAGCTTAAAAAGTCTCCCTTTCTTGTGTCTGTACTTCCTTCTCAACAGATCACAGAAATGTACTTTCTACTTTAAATGCCTAGTTGTGAGAACAACATCACATAAAAATGTATTTTTCTTGTCTTTGATATAATTATATTTCGATTGTATTGTCCTCATTCCTTTTAGCACGCTCATGTTTTCCCAAATTTATTACTTATCTTGACTACCTATTGAACTGTTAATGCCTGTTTAGTCATAGAATTACTTGAACACACTCTCGGCATTAGAACCGTCCATTAAAGAAAAACTAAATCCTTCCCTAATAACTGCAAAACTTTTACCGTCGCCACTTTGCTGTTTAGAAACGTTCCTTCTTAAAATCATTGATCAGTTTTCTGACTGAATCTGAGATCCATTGTTCTGTTCTTGTCCTGGCAGCCTCCTATTGCTAACAGAGCATGTTGATTACTTCCTCACTGACCTGTTGGCCATAGCTTAAGATTCATAATCCCAGCGTCTCTGTACTTCTCTTTGCGTCTGCTTCCTCTTGAAAGTATCTATTGTAGCTATAGTATAGTGGGAGGTACGTTGGACCTGTAGACATAATCCCTAGGTGAGATGTCTTGTTCTAACACTTTCTAGCTTTATGATTCTGTGCAAATCCCCTGGCTGCGCCTCAGCTGCTTTACACATAAAACGGAGATAATAATAGCACCTATTTCACACCTTTGTTCTTGAGATGATATATGTACTTCATACATTCTGAGGTACCACTCAAATGGAAATATTAATTGCCAGTTTCAGTTTCAGATATACGGGATTTTAGTGTTCTTTACTCTCTAACTACATTCCCTCTAAGAGCTTGTATTCTAGTTAATATTATCATTTGCATGTAAATGACTATATATTTGCACACACACACACAGCTTATATATATATATATATACATACACACACACACACACATATATATATATATATATATATATATATATATATATATATATATGACAGCTTTACAGTTATAATATGCCAGTAATAGAAAACTGAATGCTTTGCCTGATATCCATCCATTTTTCACACTTTTCTCACTATGTTCAATGACTTTATCAATCTAGGTATTTGAGTCCTTAAACCTGCTATCAACTTCAAATATTTTCTATTTAGTACTGATAGTGGACATTTGTGGATTTTTGTTTTTGCTGTTCAGCATCTTCTATGCCTTAGAGAATATTACAGCGTGTCAGTGGTGGTAGGGACAGGCGGGAAGTTTCACTTTTCACAACCAGTCGGCAGTACACAGAGAAGGGGCGAGAAATGTCGTTGGGTTAGTGTACTGCCATCATTTCTCCTGGAGAAAACAACTTGGTCAGCCATGTTACATTGCTCTGTGGTACAAAGAGAACACACTGTCTTCAAGTAGTTCAAGGAAGGGGAATAGCAATAGCAGGGCGAAGCAGCCTCAAAGTGTGAAAAGAATTAGCTAAGGAGAATGACTGCTCCCTCATTTCCTGCCCAGTCACTCTCCAACTCATTATCTTGTTAACTGTTTGTTGTAATACTTACTAGCACCTGAAATAATCTATTTGTTTTTTTATATACTAACTTTTTGGGG